CCGCAGACCCAGCCCGGGACAGTGCAGCCCGCCCGGGACCGGCGTGCTCCACAGCAAGCCCCAGCCCTGTGGTCTGTGCACCCCCTGGGAGCGCAGGATTTTGGGGTCTCAGCTCCTGTCCTTTTTGGACGGCCGACTCGGATGTTTTCTCAGAGGGGTCCCCGGGGAGTGCCGGGTTCTCATACTCAAGTCTGCCTCCAGTCTGTTGCTTTTAAACTTCCTCTTCTTGTTGCATCTCAGCTGCAGTGGGGACCCGGGGACCCATCTCTTCCTGACACCCTGAGCTCTGGTGAGCACTGCACCCTCCTCTCCCTGAGGCCCCTCCCCAGGTGCAGATGTCGGGACCTCTTTTCCTGGGGCCAGTGGTCACTTAACAGAAAAGGAGGTTCTGTGTCCTTAGAAGAGTCAGGAGCCTGAGGCCCTGGGGTGCACAGGACCCCCGGCTGGGGCAAAGGGGTGCGACCTCCTGGGGGCGGCACTGTGCCAAGGGCTCTGCCCCCTCCAGGGCTCCACAAGCAGCCACCTTGGCTCCTTCTAGGCGGGGCCTGAGACCCTTCAGGAGGGAGGGTCTGGCTGTGTCCGGGTCAGTGAGCCCTGACTCCCTGACAGGAGACAGCTGCTGCCAAGGCCTCAGCCTCAGGGTGGGCAGAGTCCCAGCTCCTTGCTTGGTGGAGGGGCCATGCTTCTCAGCTGGGCGTGGAGCAGATGTCCCCCAGCCTCAGTCTCAGTCTCACCTGCTCCTTCTGTCGCAGGCTTCGAACCGTGGCCAACAGTCCTAGTGGACCACGTGGACCCGTGAGCTCAGGAGCCTCGGACGCTGTCCCGGAGAGCCAAGCTGGTGTTCGAGGTGGCGCCTCCAGGGTCCAGCCTGCTGCCCAACAGCCCCGCGGCCACCAGGGGGCCGTCCCTGGCCCGGCTGTGTGCCCTGGTGGACCTGTGTCTGGGCTGCTCCCGCTGCACCCAGCGGCTCAATGAAAGCACCTACGTCCTCCGCAGGGTGGAGCATGACTGCTCCCACGAGATCCTGCTGGCCCGCTTCAAGCAGGCCACCAAAAGCAAGGTCTGGCGCATGGTGGGCTGCCGGCCCACCTTCCCAAGGCCCTTGTGCTACCAAGTCTGTCGCTACTATAGCCCTGGGCTCGGCTGCCGGCGCCACCGAAACCGGTGCACCTTTGCCCGCAGTCGCGAGGAAGCCCTGGTCTGGACCTTTGAGCGTCAGCACAACCTCCAGCGCCTGTGGCTGAAGGCGGAGGTGCAGGGCGGTGGGGCCCAGGGAGGGGCAGGCCGGGCGGCTGATGCCATCCTCACAGAGTTTGGCGGCCGCTTCGAGCTGCTCTGCTCCCTCTGCTTCAGGCGCTGCCCCCCACGTGTCTGTCGCGTGGACCCCCAGGGGCAGTGCCCTGAGCACGGAGCCTGCCCCTCCCTCCTGGCCCATGTGAGCGCTGAGGGCCGCCGCAAGCAACAGTTTGTGACGGTGAGGCCACAGCCCCGGGCTGGCCAGCCTCCCGCCTACTGCAGGTTTGTGGGGCGCGGGCAGCCATGCTGGCGTGGGGAGTCCCGCTGCCAATTCGCACACAGCGCCGTGGAGATGGCTGTGTGGGAGGCCGAGCAGCTGGGTGGTCTCCAGCGGGGGGACCTGCTCACACCCCCTGCCCCTGATGGCGACGGGCGCACGGTCCCCCTCGGCCAGCCCCCTGGGGCCCAGCTGTACTGCCCAGCCTGCTTGGTCACCTGCCACTCTCAGGAGGCCTTCGAGAACCACTGCGCATCCTCGGAACACGCACAGATGGTGGCCTTCGACCAGGCCGTGCCCTGGGAGCACCGTTCCCCACCCCCGGGACTCTCCAAGTTCGAGCTCTGCCCAAAGTAAGGATGCCCGGGGCAGGAGCTTGGGGTGGGGCATGAGCCCACTGTAGGCGAGCCAGAGGCTCCCAGGTTCAGTGGACGGTGGCCTCCCTGCCACCTGCTGGGGGCTGAAGCCACGGTGGCCTCTGAGGACCTGGATAAGGGAGGCTCATGTTTGGGAACTGCTTGAGCCAGGCCTTGTCCCGGGAGCACAGGAGTGGGTGGGACGAATAAAGCCCCTGCTCCCTGCAGAGGCCAGCATTGGGCTGAGGGGGTCCCGGCCTTTGAACTCAGCACGGTGGCTGTGCCTCCGTGTAGCCCTGCCGACCTCCCTGTCCCCCAGGCCTGACCTCTGTGAGTATGGCGACGCCTGCACCAAGGCGCACTCAGCACAGGAGCTGCAGGAGTGGATCCAGCGCAGGCGGGCTGTGGAGCTGCGGGGGCAGGCGGCCTGGCAGGATGGGCTGGTGCCCTACCAGGAGCGGCTGCTGGCCGAGTACCAGCGCAGCAGCAGTGAGGTCCTTGTGGTAAGTGGGCCCTGGCAGTGGGTGGGGTGGGGTCCAGGCCTCCTGCTGAAGGCTAGACTTCCACACAGCTGACAGAGACCCTTGATGGAGTGCGTGTCACCTGCAACCAGCCCCTGATGTATCAGGCCCAGGAGAGGAAGACCCAGTACAGCTGGACGTTTGCCGTCCACTCTGAGGTGAGCAGAGAGCAGCTTCGACTGGGCGGAGGGAGCCCTGGGGAAGTGGTGACCTCAGCCTGGGCAGACGTCGAGAGTCTAGGTCATGGAGCTAATACCAAGGCACCACCACTTAGCGCCTGCGTGACCTGCGGCAGGTCCCTTAGCCTCTCTGCCTCAGTCTCCTCACCTACAGACAGGGGGCCCGGGAGAGTCCTGCCCTGGTAGGGTTACTCTGTAGAGCAGACGGGTTAAAACAAGGATTTGGCCAGGTGCCGAGGCTCATGCCTGTAATCCCAGTACTTTAAGAGGCCAAGGCAGGTGGATCACTTGAGGTCGGGAGTTTGAGACCAGCCTGGCTAATATGGTGAAACTCCATCTCTACTAAAAATCCAAAAAAAAAAAAAAAAAAGAAAAAAAAATTATCCTGGTATTTGGATTATCTACTACCAAAAAAAAAAAAAAAAAGAAAAAAAAATTATCCTGGTATTTGGATTATCTACTAAAAATCCAAAAAATAAAAATAAAATAAAATAAACCCATCATGGTGGTGGGTTCCTGTAATCCCATCTACTCAGGAGACTGAGGCAGGAGAATCACTTGAACCCGGGAGGCGGAGGTTGTAGTGACTTGAGATCGCGCCTTTGCACTCCAGCCTGGCGACAAGAGCGAAACTCCGTCTCAAAAACAAAAACAAAAACAAAAACAAGGATTCACCAGGGTCTGGCACCTGGAGAGTGGGTGGTGAGGCCTCAAGCTGCCCACATTGCCCCACAGAACATCCACAGGGGCCCCAGGAAGGTTCAGCGACCCCCATTTAGCACAGGAGGAAACTGAGGTTGACAGAGGCCGGGTGACCTGCTTGCGTTCCATCCAGGAAGTGGCAGGGCCGGGACCTGAACCCTGCACTTGGGCTACACTGGCCAGGCTGCATCTCGGGAGGGTTGGGGGGAGTCCTGGGCCCTCCTCACTGTCCGGCCTCCTCTCCAGGAACCCCTGCTACATGTGGCCCTGCTGAAGCAGGAGCCTGGAGCCAACTTCTCCCTGGTGGCTCCCGGCCTCCCGTCGGGCCGGCTCTACGCACGGGGTGAGCGCTTCCGTTTGCCCAGCTCCGCTGCCGACTTCCAGGTCGGAGTGAGTGTGCAGGCCGCCTCCTTTGGCACCTTTGAGCAATGGGTGGTCTTCGACTTTGGCCGCCGGCCGGTGCTGCTGCGGAAGCTGGGGCTGCAGCTGGGCCAGGGGCGTCACCCAGAACCCTGCAGCAGTCTGGCGCTCGGCCACCCTGAGGAGATGGAGCGCTGGCACACTGGCAACCGCCACGTGGTGCCTGCCGTGGAGCGGACGGCCGAGCAGACAGCCCTGATGGCCAAGTACAAGGACCCTGCCCTGGCCCTAGAGTTCAACCGCAGCGGCCTGGCCTCGGGCCCCATCTCACCAACAAACTATCGGCAGAGGATGCACCAGTTTCTCTATGAGGAGGAGACAGCTCAGCAGCAGCTGGTGGCCAAGTGAGCTGGGGGGCAACGGGAGCTGCTGAGGGTAGCAGGAGCAGCTGGGGCAACGGGAGCGGCTGAGGGTAGCGGGAGCAGCTGGGGGAACGGGAGCGGCTGGGGCAACAGGAGTGGATGGGGGCGTGGACTTGGCAGTGGGGCTGGCAGCTGTGGCCCCATGACCTGACCCAGGCCATCCTGCCAGGCTGACCCTGCGGGGCCCGGTGTTCCTGAAGACGGCATTGCAGACGCCAGCGCTGAACATGCTCTTCGCGCCTCCGGGAGCACTGTACGCAGAGGTCCCCGTCCCCCCGTCCCTGATGCCAGACACAGACCAGGGCTTCCTGCTGGGCCGGGCGGTCAGCACAGCCCTGGTGGCCCCCGTCCCCGCACCCAACAATGCAGTGTTCGAGGTGCGGCTGGAGAAGCGGGCCAGCTCGGAGCAGGTGCTGTGGCTGCTGCTTCCCGCCCGCTGCTGCTTGGCCCTGGGGCTGCAGCCTGAGGCCCGCCTGGTCCTGGAGGTGCAGTTCCAGATTGACCCGATGACCTTCCGCCTCTGGCACCAGGCAGTGGACACGCTGCCTGAGGAGCAGCTGGTGGTGCCTGACTTGCCCACCTGCGCCCTGCCCAGACCTTGGTCTGTCCCACCCTTGCGGCGTGGCAACCGCAAGCAGGAGCTGGCCGTGGCGCTCATCGCGGGCTGGGGCCCTGGGGATGGGAAGCGTGTCCCCCCACTGCTCATCTATGGCCCCTTTGGCACCGGCAAGACCTACACGCTGGCCATGGCCTCCCTCGAGGTCATCCGGAGGCCTCAAGCCAAGGTGCTCATCTGCACACACACCAACAGGTAAGCCCGAGCCTGGCCTGCCCCCCCTCACCTGACGCCCGGCCCAAGCCGACACTGGGCAGGCAGTCAGCCCCTAAGCATGCTGCAGTCCTCTGATTCTGCAGGGACCTTCCCTGTAGCCGACCAGCCTTGGACTTTGGCTTTATCAGACCCAGCTCAGGGCACGCAGGGTGGCCAAGTCTGCTGTCAGGTGAGGAGCTGGGTGCCTCTGCCGGGGCCCTGGCCCAAAGAGAGAGTCACGGGGAAGGCTGCAGCATGGTCCACCCAGCAGTTCCTGGAGATGAATCTTGTTTTTGGTTTTTATAGAAACACAGATTTTTGTCCTAACCACAAAGTTCCCCTTTGGTTTATGTGGTTTCCTCGGGTCCCTGCCACCATCAGCTGCCCAGACCGGGGCCTCCCCATCCCTGCACAGTGGGGAGTGGGAGGAAGAGCCTGGGACAGTGGCCATATGTCCCGGGCTGATTTCTGGATTAGGGGTTCTGGGGGCCTGGGAGGCAGGTGTCTGCAGTGTCAGAGGGGCTGCTGGGCTCGCCCAGGTGTTACCCAAAGCCCTCCGTGGCCTCTTGCCCCTCGGACTCCTGAGAGTCCACACCAGCATTTGCTGCTCACCTCTGACAGCCAGACAAGGGCTGTGCTCAGGGGCAGCTCGGCTGGGCACACAGTAGGTGCTTTAGCGGACAGCACTGAGGCCCCCAGCAAGAAGCCCATGAACTCCTCCCCCTCACGCAGCGCTGCCGACATCTACATCCGGGAGTATTTCCACAGCCACGTCAGCAGCGGCCACCCCGAGGCCACTCCTCTCCGTGTGATGTACACGGACCGGCCACTGAGCCACACGGACCCGGTCACGCTGCAATACTGTTGCCTGACTGACGACCACCAGGCTTTCCGCCTGCCCACGTGGGCAGAGCTGGCACGGCACCGGGTGGTGGTCACCACCACCTCCCAGGCCCGCGAGCTCAGGGTGCCGGTCGGCTTCTTCTCCCACATTCTCATCGACGAGGCGGCCCAGATGCTGGAGTGTGAGGCCCTCACCCCGCTGGCCTACGCCTCGCGCAGCACCCGCCTCGTGCTGGCAGGCGACCACATGCAGGTCACGCCCCGGCTCTTCAGTGTTGCCAGGGCCCGGGCGGCCGAGCACACGCTGCTGCACCGCCTCTTCCTGTACTACCAGCAGGAGACGCACGAGGTGGCACGGCAGAGCCGCCTGGTCTTCCATGAGAACTACCGCTGCACGGAAGCCATCGTCAGCTTCGTCTCCCGGCACTTCTACGTGGCCAAGGGCAACCCCATCCACGCCAGGGGCAAGGTTCCGCCCCACCCCCGGCACTACCCACTCATGTTCTGCCACGTGGCGGGCAGCCCAGACCGGGACATATCCATGACGTCCTGGCTGAATCTGGCTGAGATTGCCCAGGCCGTCGAGAAGGTGCAGGAGGCCTACAACACCTGGCCCAGCTGCTGGGGTGTCCGTGAGCAGAGGCACATCTGCGTCGTGTCCCACGGTGCTCAGGTGAGCCTGGCCAGCCCCCGACGGCACCCCTGCTGCGGGAGGGGAGGCTGCCGGCTGACGGATGAGCCCGCTGCCTCAGTGACGCCATCCGTAAGAGGGGCTGCAGTATTTGCCTCCCAGGGCTGATGTGGGGCTCCGCCCCAGAGGTGTCTAGAGCTTGGTGGGGGTGCCGTTTCCTGGTCGGGGGTGGCGGAGTCCTCACTGCGTCTGGCGCTCATCCCCGGCCCTGCTGCGTCTTCAGGTCAGTGCACTGAGGCAGGAGCTGAGGAGGCGGGACCTAGGCCAGGTGTCTGTGGGCAGTTTTGAGATCCTGCCAGGTGGGTGACCAGCGGGGCCGAGTGCTGCCAGCTGCCCCAGGATGCCCCGGGTGGCTCGGCCCACTCCTCAGCCTGGCATCGGTGGGCGTGGGGTTGGTCCCACCGCCCGGCGTGCCCAGCCTGACTGCGTGCCCTCTGCAGGGCGGCAGTTCCGGGTGGTGGTGCTCAGCGCGGTGCACACCTGCCAGAGCCTGCTCAGCCCCGGGGCACCGGCCCCCGAGTTCTTCACCGACGCCCGCGTGCTCAACACCGTCCTGACCCGCGCCCAGTCCCAGCTGGTGGTAGTGGGGGACGCCGTGGCCCTCTGCTCCTTCGGGGCCTGTGGCAAGCTCTGGGAGAGCTTCATCCGCGAGTGCGTGGACCGGCGCAGCGTCTGCCCCGAGGGCCTGTCCATGGAGCAGGTGGAGCAGGGCGTGGCGCAGAGACGGCGCTGGCCTCCCCGAGGCACACGAGCTGGGGCAGCGGGGAACTGGGAGGCTGCCCCGGAGCCAGCAGGGGACCCGGCCGAGGAACCAGCGACTGTGGTGACGGCCACAGTGAAGGCAGAGCCGGGAGATGAGGCTCTGAGCCCAGCCTCCGGTGACATCACGGCAACCCCAGCGCAGACGGAGGCTGCGGCAGCGCCAGCAGGAGACGCAGTGAAGGAGGACGCTCTTATACACATCTAGATGTGTATAAGAGACAGCATCTGCGTCGTGTCCCACGGTGCTCAGGTGAGCCTGGCCAGCCCCCGACGGCACCCCTGCTGCGGGAGGGGAGGCTGCCGGCTGACGGATGAGCCCGCTGCCTCAGTGACGCCATCCGTAAGAGGGGCTGCAGTATTTGCCTCCCAGGGCTGATGTGGGGCTCCGCCCCAGAGGTGTCTAGAGCT